AAAAAAACATTGAAAAACCAGTTTGGTTTTTCGTGGATGGGCACGTTTCTCATCTAACCATGCATGTGTCTAATTTTTGTGCCCAAAATGGAATTGAATTAATAGCCTTATATCCAAATTCCACGCATTTACTCCAGCCAATGGATGTATCTGTTTTCAGGTCCTTAAAACTGGCATTCAGAAATGAAGTACAGAAGTGGCGTATGGATAACTATGGCAAAATTGATTCAGAGTCTTCTGTCACATCACCAGTAGATGTTTATGAAGTATAGATTCCTTTTAATTTTTGATTTCAATTTTGAAATCAAAAATATTTTTTGTGAGAGTTCCTTTTTCAGTTCCTTTTTTTATTTTTGTTATTATTTTTATGGCTTATTTGTCTTTTATAAACATTTTCTATAAATGATTATTAATAAAAATGTTTTATCAGTAGGTAAAATGTAGCTGCTAATTTATGCTTGATTGATGGCAATAATTGGGATGGCAACCATTGGTTTTGTTAAAAAATTAGTGGCAATAATTGGTATTATCGGATACCATGTATTTTGCCTTTAAACTTCTTATAGTGGCAATCACTGGTCGGTTACCTTAATTGGTTAGGAGATGTTTGCCAGATTGGAGCCATAATAAAAATATAATTCGAAGCATACCACGCTTTATTACAACAAAATTATTTTTTTCGAATTGTTTTTTATTTTTAAGTTTTTGTTGCCATTAAAGCGTTTTATTTAGTTTGTTGAACTATTATTAATTGTTTTTATACATCAGCAAAATGATTTTCGATATAGTCGTCCTGCTCATCCAAAATTTCTGGTCTGTTTTTAACACTAAGTAGATCGAACAAGTACATTAAAAATGGTAATTGAATGATCTATAAACTAAGATATCACTAGCTCTCTTTCCATTTGCCTTCTTTCCAGTTAGAAGGGTATCATCATCTTCCTAAATATCATGAGGATCGGTACAACTATACTGAGAGAAAATTTTCAAATTATTATTTATTTCTTCAACGGTTTCATACACCTACCAATATGCCTATTGACTTTGTGAAATAGGTGGAATGTTCTAGTTTTCTAGTGTCAGCACAGAAAATTATATATTTAGGGTATATTATAATGAGACACATGGAAAAAGTGATAGAAAGAAAGAAGAGTACATTGTCATTCAAGATTGTTTAGACAAAACTTTCGGCAATCTTATGAGAGCAGATATGTGATAATATTCAAGAATTCGAGTAAAATCTAAGACATTATTTGAGTAAGTACAAAGTCATGGAAACACGAGACACTATGGCACAATGAATTATACAGTTGCATCCCAAGAAAAGATTGATTTCTACTTTGTAGCAACTCGACATGAAATTTTTCAATGTTTTTGTAGGTGATAATGGGCAGTTCTGTACACCTTCACTAATATTCATATTTGATTTTCATCACGAAATACAATTTTTATAAACTTTTCTTTAAAAAAAAACCTGTATTTTAAGTGATTTTTCCAAATGAAATTGTTTATTGCAATTCAAACTTATTTCTTGGTGTGAGACAGGTATTCAGGCTATCTTCGTTTCACTCGATGTTTCTTAATATTCTGAAAAATTTATTACTTTCTAGAGAGAGATATACATTTTTCATTTGATTACCTTTGGAAATTTGTCCAAAGGCTTTAAAAAAAAATTGTCGTGCCCATTTGACGTGCAAAAAAAGTGAAGAAGCATCCATTATCATATTTTACTATATACATTATCATAACTGAATTATTTTCTAGTTTTCATAGTGTAAACACCTATATTAGCAAATTATAAATAATTTATTCAAATTTGACTACAAATAACTTTGCTCAACTTTTATACGAAATTTCTAATGGTTTCACTATAATTTATGCATAAAGCACATATTCGGACACACAGGAGAATTTTAACTATACATGAAATGTAGTTGCAGATGAAAATAGTATAAACAAGAACATAAACAAAACCAAATAACAAAATTAGTGGGTGTAAATCTGATGAGACACAGATCCAAACTCAAGAGAAAAGTTTAAAATATATCTACTCGGAATGGATTTCCAAGATCACTAAGGAAATTGAAACAAGTATTCACCCAATCATTTTTCGTAAAACTAACATTAAATGACAATTATTGAAAGGTTTGTTGAAGAATTAAAATCACTGGCCTTCTAAGTATAAACTTTTGAGTAATTAAATGTTTCGAGAATCAGTTCAACATTTTCATACACTGTGAAATATGGTACGAATATGGTATAATCAATTGAGATAGTTGATCCGTCAACACTAAGAAGTGGTTAAGTAGGTACGGTTTTATGGCCAGTATATGTGATTAGTTTATTTGTCTTCACTCCCACAATCGATAATTTTAATTTACTAGATTAAAAATCATTCAAGAGTTGTGTTCCGAATACAGAAAATTGCACTTTCAATAAATGTCAATGGTAATTGACTTGTATATTACAGCAAGCATAAGAAAAACCGTGATTACTCCAATTATTGAGTAATCTTCTTTGGATCTTCAATGCAGCCCTGCCCATTTTCAACTGAATGATCAATCTTAGCTTTTTTATAACCTTCCCCACGGTTATTGAAAATGATATTTCGATGAGATTTAAATCCGAGTATCGTGCTGGCCCATCCAGATCATGCACAGTGGACTATTATCGATGGCGTGCAAAAGGTCAGGTTTATCCGCAGTGGAACTCACCTCATATGTGTGAACTTATCAACTCTCAACTAATTAATTTCGCACTCATTTGTTCATCTTGTTTCCAGATATTGGTGTCTGAGACGAACTCTTATCATCGAATAAAAGTCTTGATACGATGGGATGTGAATTTCAAAAGTGTATGTTACTCTGGAAATTCGTTCCGTTAATTTTTTATTGATACTGTAATTGAATATATCAAACATCAACATCGAAAATGAACTTATTTTCTTTTCTGTAAATAAATCATTTTATGAATTGTAAAAAGATCTGCATACGTTCCTATAATATGATTTACTCAATACTTTTGGGAACTTGTTTCTTCGACTAAAAGTTTACGAGTATGATATTGTATAGAAAGAAATCACTGTTTCACTATTGGGATCCATAAGTATGTATACATTTCGAATGATAGTAATTATTCCATCTGTTAATAATTATCAACATGAATAACATGATCTTGTGAGAAGTTTCATAATTTCAATTTTATTTTTCGTTCAATAAAGTAAGGACATTAGTGAAATGCATTCTGGCGTTGTAGAAAATCCACTTACCTATTTGATCATAAATGATTGATAGTGATATGTTGCAAAACCAAAAAGTTATCTTGGCGTTCGGTACTATATACTACCAGTATGAGGTTGTGGAAATTTGTGTCTTTCCAAAGTTATTACGTTAATAAATGAGGAAGAGTGATCTATATTGAAGATTTCTTTCTGTAACCAATTGAAGTAAGAATTAAGATAATGAAATACCTGATTGAAAATCATTTTGGTTATATATTTTTTGCCATAGCCACGGTCAGAAAAAGAGGAGTGTTTGATTTTTTGATACATTTATCTATAATAATATTTACTGGAATATTGAGCGACGGCCTTTCTGACGAGATGAAAGTTTTCGCTTTTTAAACGGTTCGATTTTCAGAACAGCCATGCAGTGATTTTTTTAGTTTTTGTGGACTTTTCTCAAATTTTCATCTACCACACAAATAAAAGCATTATTTAATGAAGAACTTTGCGTAGAAAGGGCAAACTTCTAGTTCGGCCTAATAGGTCACCTAGAAAATAAAATTTGTTTCCGTAGTAAGAATCTACTAAATTAGTTTGTGAAAAAAACTATCTGCTGATAACTTATCTTTTTCGTTTGAGAAAAATGTTTTAGTTTTGGGAGTAACTCACTTTGAATAATATAAAAAAATTGTTTTTGCAATTTAATAATTATGAAAATGATAGTACATTTACTTTTGCCTGATGATTTACTTTCATGGAGACTGCTACCGTTATCACATCGCCTTTGATAATGTCTACCGCAGTATTAGACGAAACGTCAGTCATAAAATCCTACCGACCACGGTCATAAAACCCGGAAAATAGGTTTCTCACGAAGTTTAGTGTTACTTATTTTAGTAAGATAACCAGTAAATTTGAGATTTTCTAACAATCATATCCATATCATTTTTGTCAGCACAGAAAATTATATATTTAGGGTATATTCCGTGGGTATACCTATTCTCTAATACCTCTTCATTCTGAATCTGAACTTTAAAGAATATTATTTGAATAAATTGGGGCTGATTTTATAATTATACATGTCCCCATGCCAGGGGCGGTTGGAACAGCAACTGAGGTCAGTTGAAACACATACAAATAATACAATAAATACTAATGGAACATGTTTTATCTATCATTAATACTAATTATACGAATAATTATGGCACCACGACAACATCGACCAGTCTTCAAGATTTTAATACTTATTAAACATTCATGAACATTTGACGAGTAGTAAACATATATAGAAATTGTCATAATAATGTCAAAATGAGCTTAATGAAAACATTTCTTAAAACATGCAAATAAAATCATCTAAAAGGTTGGATTCATTTTTTTTCCATGGTGAAAGTTTCTGATTTAGATGATAATAATGATGAGTGTCAGCTAAAGCGATCTTTAGGTAACTAATAACAAAATAATAGTCATATTCATATTTTCATAGAAAACAGTTACGTTGCTGCCAAGAGGAAATATCGCAAGAATCTGTCAATTCATCTCAAATGATTTTCCCGTTAATTTGACGATATTCTAGAACCTTATTCAAAAATTTTCTATCATAATTGTTTAATAAAAATATCGTTAGTTGGTACTTGTTTTATAGATAAATGCAGGTACCGCCGAGATGTCAGGTCGTTTTGGTCCCCTCCAGTCGACGAAAACCAAGTGAGCAAGTAAGCAGTAGATCGACTACAGGGTTCAATTTATCATCTAGCGGAGGTGAGTTAATACGTACCTTCGCACGTGAACTGTCCGTAGTGTTTACCGGAACTCTTGTCCCCGCACACAACACACTCGATGTTCTGGTTCTTATCGACACTGTTGGCGCTATTCTGAGAGTTTTGCGATGGCGTTTGCCGGTTGAGGAGCGACACATCAGGATTCTCCAGAGTGATAGGATTAATGTTCGATGGTAACGGATTCAGGTTACCTGTGGGGGGCAAAGGGTTAAGACCGTTCGACAGTGAGTTCAGGCTGGTCGGTATGGGGTTGACCAGCGAAGACTCCCGCCAGGAACTGGCTACCAAAGCCATGGCGTTGAGGCGCTCCACGTTTTCCAGGAGATAACCTCACCTCGCACGCACTGCACTCTCACACCACATGAACCTCGACACCAAGTTCAAGACACTTTTCGACTCCTACACTCTGAACCTGTATCGCACTTGGTGACTTGGAGCAGCTCGATTTTCAGACGGAGCACGTATGTTCACATTGGAGGTGATAGGTCAAACCCACGACACACTCTAGCCTCTACTAGTGACCTTTCGGTCTCGGGCCCGACACTGACTTGGCCTGGGCGGTCCGGGGAGGTTCTTAGTTCACGCGAGGGTCACGATAGGCCATAGGGCGTTCCCGCGGTGGTGGTGGGGATACGGGGCCGCCGGCGAACGACGGGCGCACATCGCCTGCTGGACCGACACCGAGACACCGATATCGTACGTCGGTCCAACACACAATAAACAAGAATTATTCAAGACCGTTGTGTTCCGAATCCTCCTGCTGCTAGTCTAGTGGCCTGCGGAACACGTGCTATCGCTCACCTTTGCCTGTTTTTTCTCTGCATTTTTCCTGCGTCAGTGCGACTCGGTTGTTGCCGTTGCAAGTGATTATGTCTAGTGCATTTCGATTGTGATTTTCGAGGTGTTTGAATTTTTCGACGCGTTCGCTGATTATTATTGGGTGTGCCTATTTCACTGATTGATTTTTTTTGCGGAACGATTATAGTATTTTCAGAGATATACCGAGTTATTATTTCGAAAAGAGATTGTAAACACGGCAGGCTGGAAAGCCAAAATTTCAATACGGTATATCTTCGAAGACCCTTTAAGAAAAATAAAATTTATTCATGTCATAATAAACGATTCAGTGTTTCACGTTCGGATGTAAATATACGAGTATTATTGCAAGGTATTTATTGCCGATTGGAGATAAAAAGATGTACTCATTTTTCACAATTTGTTTTCGAACGTTTTGGTGATGTTTTTGTCCATCTTCAGGTCTTCAAAAATAACATGAAAATAAAGTTTGTTATAATAATGGTATTAGAAAATCACAAACTGTTCATATGAATTCACAGTTTTTATTAATTTTCCACATAAAATATTCAAATATCTAGTTCAGAAACAACAAACGATAAACAACATTTTCAAAAGTGTCTAAAAACGAATTGCCAATAAATAGGTGCCTTGCAATTGTATCTAATATATATGAAATGCCTAGATATAGGAATATAGTTGATCATCTAAGTAACAAACATTGAAAAATGTAGGTAGATACTTACCTAAAAACATCTTAATGATGATCGTGAAGTCAAGAATCTGAAATTTTCCAATATTAGTATGTATTTGAAATTTTTCTAAAAATCGCAATGACGGAAGAAAGTCTAATTATCACAAGAACATGAAAAAATAAAT